ACAAAATACCAAGGATAATGGACAAATCTTAAAATGAACAAAAATGCAAAAGTAAAAATTGTTAAAAGAGTAAAACATGTACTGCCTACAAAAGAACAGCAATTATCTTAACTGCTGACTTATCAATGCAATAACAGGAGCAAGAAAATAGAAGAATGACAGTTAACCTAGAATTCCCAGTGAAACATGCAAGACTTTTTAGACACAGGAAAATTAAGAAAATATATGTATCACATAACTACTGCAGCAGAAATTATAAGGATGTTTTTTAGGAACAAAAACAATGATCACAAAAGGAAGATGTGAGATAAAAAAAGAAATGGTAAACAAATATTGTCCAATATTTGTTGTACTGTATAAAAGAACAATAACAGTGTCTACTTTATGGGGAGTAAAGGGAAAGATTGATCCCAGAAAAGGGATGATTAGAGGTTATCGTTCCAAGATTATCGCATTCATTTGAGGATGGTACAAGTATCGATTAACTCTAAATTTTGTTGAAATGTACAGTTAATCATTAATATAATAGGATTAGATTTGGAAATAGTAAGAGACTGATTAGAAAAAAAAAAGCTTTCAAACAAACCGAAGAATGTCAAGAAGTGAGCAGAATGCTAAGAGCAATTTGAAATAGAAAGCATGGTACAAGATGGTTCAGATGTCTCTGAGCCCAACAGTCATCAGAATTAAAGTGGATTAAAATCAGTTAAAAAGAAAACAATGATTAACACACTTGGTTCTTTAAAAATTCAGCTCTATGCTGTTTATAAGAGAGACATCTAAAACATAAGAAAAATTTTGAAGGCAAAGGAATGAATAATGCTACATCAAATATTAACCAAAAAAAAGATGACTGTATCAGAGAAAGAGGACTTTATGGCAAAAAGCATTACTAGAAATAGAAATGATGGAAGGTGTAATTCACCTGAAAGAATTAAAACTTGTAAACATTTAATCACATTTTAAAATATATATGAGGAGAAACTGACAAAATAATTCATAGACATATAGATTTGAACAGTTAATTTTTTAAATGAACATAAAGAACTTCATGTCCATCAATTGGACAATATATTATTTTCAGATACATAGAAATATCTTTAAAAACTGACCATGTAACTTGAATTTTATAAAGTAAATCTCATTGCATTTCAAAGAATCAGTAAAAAAGAAAAAAAAATACAGCTGGGAATTTTAAAACAGTTTTTAAAATAAGGCATGGGTCAAAGAAGAAAATATGATAGAAATTAGGAAGCACTTATAGGTGAATGATTAAAAGATACCGTATAGGAAAACTCATGAGATACAGCTAAAGTAATACTAGAAAAAAATATATACAAGTTTAAGAGCTTACATTACAAAAGAAGAGCTAAAAGTTAAAGGGCCAAGTATTCAATATAAGAAATTATAAAAATAGCAATAAAATAAACCAAAAATAGAAAATAATTTAAAATTAATGAAAATAGTAAGTAGTAAATAAAATAATAAATTAAAATGTAATAGAAAGGGTCAATAAATCAAAACCTGGTTCTTTAAAAAATATATTAAAAATTGGCAATCTCAGAGACATCTTGAAAAATAGAGTGTAAAGTAGTTAAGATGCGAAATGGAAGAGGGATATTACTAAATATAAAATAGAAATTTTAAAAATAGATTAAAAGGAAAATAGTATTATCACTTTGATCCTAAAGGATCCCAAATTCATCAGAGAGCAGAGGGGTTTGAGATAATTCTTCCCCTTTCAAATGCCCTTAGAGAAGATGGCATGGCTTATGTTTACCCAACCAGACAACCAGGGTCCAGATCACCCAGTCTTTCTCCGTGAACAACATTCAGTGGAATTCCTACTGAAGATCATGGCTCTGGTCAATGTGTACCTTCCCACAGTTAGTAACTTTGTTCTCAAGAGCATACTCAAGCCTTCACTATTGTATCAATGTCATAACTGCCAAAAAGAAAATCAAAGAAAAGCATTGCCTTCTCTTAAAAGTGATCAGGCAGAGTAATGAGGCAGCAACTTTACAATAATGGTCATTATCCTACTTCTAGACATAGAGACAGAGATGGACTTAGAGATAGATGCTTAGTGAGATTAATGTTTGTTCTTTATTTTTCCTTCTATTGATCCTTTTTTTTTTTTTTTTTGGTTTGACAAATCCATTGTTAAGCCAAAATGTAATTTATAAATTAATATCATTCCATTCTAACAGAAATAGTCAAAATTACAGCCCAGTTTATATTACTTTTGCTGGAAAATAGGTCACTATTTAAACTGTTTTTATTGCCTTTCAAACTTATTGGGAAGTTGCTTGGTTAACCTTTTATTAGGTGAAAAACACATTATCCATTTAAACAATACATGGGTAAGTCTTTCATTAAAAAACTCTAATAAGCTTTAAATATTAAAAGCTGAAGAAAAGAGACAAATGGATTCACACAGAGCCTGTCACTCAGTGAAAGTATTTTAGAAGTTTATACACATTTATCTTGAAGTGACAACATTCTTCCTTTCAGATGCAAGTCTACCATGAAGCCATGGGAACTTCATAGGCAGCTATGTTTCTTGAAATATCTGATATAAACAATCTCTAAAGTAGCTCGGTTTGTAGATTACAGTAAACACAGCATGGAGGCAAGTGGGATAGAGGGTTAGGAGGCCACAACACAGGTATGCCTTGGGAGACAGTGTTATGCAAATTTCAAAAGCATTTCAAAATGCCTTGAAAGTTCTAAAAGATTCTCAAGAATCAGACCTTCCATCCACCGATAGATTATATTACTGAAATAAATCCCTAAACTGCAGTTTGAAAAAAAAATGCCTTCTCACACATGATTTCCTAAATTTCTATTCACCTATTTTCCATTATTTTAGACATGGGTTTTTACAAATATTCCACAGCAACCAAACGAAATCAGTAAGTACTTTGGGCTCAATATCTGCATTGAAACGCCTATAGGTGGTCACAGTCTTTGATATCGCAGGTGCATGATTGTTCTATTCTTAGATATATTTAACATATTCACCCTTCACCCACCCCAAAATCAATTGCTTTTGCCACTGAGCAGTGGTGGCTGAAAAGCAGTGTGGTAGGAGCCTCTAGAGCAGCAGTCCCCAACCTTTCTGGCACCAGGGACTGGTTTTCTGGAAGATGATTTTTCCGTAGACAGGGTGCATGGGATGGTTTTGGGATGAACTGTTCCACCTCAGATCCTCAGGCATGAATTAGTTAGATTCTCATAAGAAGCAGGCAACCTGGATCCCTCTGTGCATAGTTCACAATAGGGTTTGCGTTCCTATGAGAATTTAAGGCCCGGCTGATCTGACAGGAGGCGGAGCTCAGGTAGTAATGCTGGCTAGCCTGCCGCTCACCTCCTGCTGTGGTTCCTAACAGGCCACAGACCAGGACCAGTCACTACCCTGGGGTTAGGGACCCCTGCCATAGAGGAATGAGAGTACTACTCCAAAAGGTTATCTGTGACCTGCCAGGACCCCCATCTACAGGACAGTAAAGTGTTATGATAGAGAAGGCACAGGTGTGGTAGAGGTGCAGAAAGGGCAGCATGTACGTCAGACAAGAAGACAACTTTACCTACTGGGGACTGGGCTGAAGAAGTTGAGGAGGAAAAAAAAATCTTGCTGACTCTATCAACTCCAACCTTAACCCCACAAAGAGTTGCTTTGAATGCCCTCCCTCCTAGCCAGCCTTTAGGCATCACTCCTGATCCCAGAACCTCCCTATGCCCAACACAATAGCATGAAAAATACCATCTTCCCTTCCTAAACTTCTAGGCCTAAATTAAGAAGTTTGTTATTCCCACACATACTACTGGTATATGTGCCAAATGTAACTTTACAGATACTTTTCTGCAAAATATATTTGTTTATTGATTAAGGTGGTTATATCTGTACTTGCATGTGATGAAAACAAAATAGTTTAATAAATCAATTACAGTGTTCACTAACTCAATCAGTTAGGGAAGACCATAAAGGCAAAGCCGTTGGTTGTGTCTGAGATTAAGAGCACACATTTCTCAATTCTTAGGCTGTACTTTTAGGACAATTGCCTGGAAAGGGAAATATTTGGTCAATCAAAAAAAGTGTTTTTTCTATATGACATTGTTATGACTTTGACTGATCTTTCTAAAGGTATGATTGGCCTTACAAAGTCCATAGCCTCAGGATAGCCTATCTGTAGCCTGATTTTCTCCAACTTCCTTCCCAGGTCCTTTCTCTGTGCAGCAGATGAGCACATGCCAGGCTCTGTGTTGGCTAGTATTAGGACTCAAGAAAGCATTTGCTTTACTTGTTGTGTATATACAATGGCCAAACAATCAATTCATTAATTTTCATTATTGGCGAAAGGACTCTTACAATTTAAAGTTCTGTCTTGCTGGGCACAGTGGCTCACACTAGTAATCCAGCACTTTGAGAGGCCAAGGCCTTGAGGTCACTTGAGCTCAGGAGTTCAAGGTTACAGTGAGCTACGACCACCCACTGCACTCTAGCCTGGGCAACACAGTGAGACCCTGTCTCAATGTAAATAAATAAATAGTTCTGTCTCTATTGCAGATTTCTTGCTATGATGGGGGAAATGGCACTTCAGAAATTTCAAAAACATGAGTCATAAACATATTAAATATCTACTATAAGCTAAACTTGGCCCAACATCTGCTAACAAGTTGCCATCCACCTAAGAATCCAAGTAAACTTCAAGTTTTAGCTTTAACCTACTCTTACAGTAAGTCAGGCAGTTACTTGTTTTTGCTTTAACTTTTTAACAATTTTAAAGAAGCGTTTTTCAGTGCAATTTAGATAAAAGAGATAAAAGATCATACTTTTTTGCTGTTGTTTGCTGAAAATTCTATTTTCTCAAAACATACAGTAGGATGAGAACACCATCTTTGTAGTCAGGCCCCAGAATGTTTTTCTTAGCACAATTTCCTAAAAGCTAGGTGTGTTGTGAGTAAAAATTTATTAGGTTTCTTTTGTTTTCAAACAGGATCTCGCTCTGTCCACTCAGGCTGGCGTGCAGGGGCATGATCACAGCTTACTGCAGCCTCAATCTTCTGGATTCAGGTGATTCTCCCACCTCAGCTCCCAGAATAGCTGGGATTACAGGCCTGCACTACTGCACCCAGCTAACTGTTGTATTTTTAGTAGAAAAGGGTTTTCACTATGTTGCCCAGACTGGGAACTCCTGGGCTCAAGCCATCCTCTTGCTTTGGCCTCCCGAAGTGCTGGGATTACAGGTGTGAGCCACAGCATCCAGCCAGGTTTGGTTTTCTTTGAACATTTTACCAAAAGCCTTTTTGTCTTTTTCTCAGCAAATTACATGGGTGGGAAAGGATGGGGGAGGGGCCAAGTAGCTGCTTCCTCTTAGCATCTCCAGCATTCATCTGATTCATTGCCTGCCCCTGCCAGAAGGGTGAGGATAGATGGCATTCTTTGCCTACCACTTACGCATAATTATGATGTCTGTGCTAATTGTTGTTCACATCTTCATATCTGGTTTGTATTTTAAGCAGAAGGGAAGATGTGACTCACCTGAAAAAAATCAGCAGTCTGTGTGTCTCTGATTCACCCCAGAATTTTACCCTGCAAATGCTATTGCTATTTTTGTTTCCCAGAATGTGTTCTAACAGTAAACATAGTTTAGACCCAATACCCGGGCCCAGACAAAGATTAGGTTGTCATAAAATATATAAATTAATTTCAGAGGGCTGAGGATTGTGTTTGACTATAAGAAGCACTAATCAACCAGGCACAGTGGCTCACACCTGTAAGCCAAGCACTTTGAGAGGCCAGGGCTATCGGATCACTTGAGCTTAGGAGTTCGTTATCAGAGTGAACAACATAGTGAAACCTCATCTCTATAACAACAACAAAAATACAAACATTAGCTGGGCATGGTGGTGCCCACCTGTGGTCCCAGGTACTCGGGAGGCTGAGGTGGAAGGATCACCTGAGTCTGGCAAGGTCGAGGTTGTAGTAAGCCATGATTGTGCCACTGCTCTCCAGCCTGGATGACAGAGTGAAACTCTGGCTAAGAAAAAAAAAAGTAGTAATAGACAAGCTCAATGTTTCAAAGCATGTACCCATCCAGAAAATTCTACTCCTACTCAGAAACAAAAGAAAAATAAATTGAGATATTGCATTATTTAAAATAAATGTTATACTTTAATTATAATTCATGTGAATTGTTTTATTAAGAATTTAAAGAAACACCCATTAGGATGACCATTATTTTAAATCAAAAACAGAAAATAAGTTTTGGCAAGGACATGGAGAAATCAGAAATCTTGTCCATTGTGCATAAGAATATAAAATTGTGTAGGCACAGTGAAATAGGTTAGTGATGCCTCCAGAAGTTAGACATAGAATTACCATATGATCCAGCAATTCCCTTCTAGATATATAGCCTAAAGAACTGAAAGTAGGGACTCAAACAGACTCTTACACATCAGTGTTCATAGCAGCATTTTTCACTATAGCCAAAAGCGAGACACAACCCAAATGTCCATCAACTGAAAAATGTACAAGAAAAATGTGATAACTACATACGATCTTCAAAGGGAATGGAATTCTGGCACATACTACAATATGGATGAACTTTGAAAACATTACACGAAATGAAATAACAAGACACAAAGGGCAAATGTTGCATGATTACACTTATATCAGACACCCAGAACCGTAATATTAATAGAGTTAAAAAAATAGAATAGAGGTTATTAGGTGCTGGGGGGAAAAGGGGAATGGGAAGCTACCGTTTAGTGGGTACAGAGTTACTGTTTTAGATGATGAAAAAGTTCCTGAATGTACTTAACACTGCTGAATTGCACACTTAAAAATGGTTACATTGCTAGATTTAATATTATATATATATTACAGTAATTTTAAATATTAAATATATAAAGAAGTACAATGCAACTTATTCAAAATAAAGTAAAATGCCACGTACATAACTAATCTCTTCATTTGTCCATAGAGCAAGGACCTGGGAAGCAAGCTGGAGCTCAGGCTACAGATATGCTAGCCTGAGGCTGTGGTCTTTGTAAGGCCAGATCACCACTTCAGAAGATCAGTGAAAGCCACAACAATGGCACATTAAAATAATAATAATAATTTGATTGAGTAAATATTTCACTCTTGAGGCAACCGTCTTAAATGTACAGCTTAAGAACTAAAAAATTTGGCAGGTGGAGAGGGGATGGCTGGGTAGCTCACACCTATAATACCAGCACTTTGGAAGTCTGAGGCTGGTGGATCACTTGAGTCCAAGAAGCTCAAGACCAGCCTGGGTGCCAGGAAGAAACCTCATCTCTACCAAACTACAGCAATTATCTGGGCATGGTGGTGTATATCTGTAGTCCTAGCTATTGGAAGGCTGAGGCGGGAAGATCACTTAGCCCAGGAGGCAGAGGCAAGATTGCACCACTGCATTCTAGCTTGGACAACAGAGGTAGATCCCATCTCAAAAAAAAAGAAGAAGAACTGATAAATTTATGCTCTTACTCTGAGATACAACCAATTATTCCACCTTTATGGTTTTCCCTCACAGTGGTTCAGTTAGCAAACACTGTAATTGAATTACTATTTTATTTTCATCACTTATAGGTACAAATATAACCTCTTAAGTCAATATGCAAATATATTTTGCAGAAAATTATCAGACCATAGAGCCATAGTTACTAGCCACGCTACCTCCCTAGAGCCTCAGTTTCCAAATGTGTAAAATGGGAATACATATGCTGACACACAGAATCAACATAAGAAGGAAGTAATGGGAAAATACCACCTCTGGCACATTAGGAGGACCCAACCATTTTATTATTACCTGAAGGAGTGAATGTAAGTGAAACAACTAAGAGAAAATAGGGAAAGAAGAATGTCAGAACTTTCTTGGCAACTATATTCAACATGTCATCAACACAGGATTTCATATGATCTGTGGAAGCTTTTATACAAAATGGGTGTGGAGATTTACAAGATTGAGCCTGAAAATAACTGATGCATTCTGACATCCTATATGTTGTACTAAATCTAAAATAATCGAAGAAAAAATAAACAAAATGACACCCATAAAATACACAGACAAGATGATACAGGAGAAACCATATATAATTAGATAATAACTGCTATGACTGTGAAGAGCAGGCAATTGCGAATCACAAAACACTTGTTTGCTATGGGGTTTTTTTTTTTTTTTGGTCCCTTTCATGGAAAAAAAGAAAGTTTGTTTTTCTTCAAAATACTAACACTGGTTTGTAGGTTTGAATTGACTTTTTTTTTTTTTTTTTTTTAATATTTGTAAAAAGGTCAGTGACTATTAACCCAAGTATGAAACAAGAATACTTTCCAGCATGGGAAATTTGATTTTTAAACAAAAAGAAAAAAAAAAAGACCACCTTGAATGGCTGAAGACAAAATAAAGAAAACAGTACATGTTTCCAACGTGCATGTTATAAAGAATTTTGATCACTTTGGAATTGGTGCTGGAGAAAACATGATGTGAATGTTTGTTTTCCTGACACTTTAAAAGCTATTTCTTATTTCCAAATAAGAAAGGAACATACCTCCCCAGACAAAAATTTTAAATAGAAAGTTAAATGATCTTTGGATTGTTTAACAGGAACTTGACTAAACTCTGCTGGTTCTCTAATTCAAACTACATGAAAATTAACGTTGCATAATGGTAACGACAACATGAGCAGTGCCAAAGAAGCAATATTTTGCTGGGATCCATGGCAATGTCATAGTCGTCACACGTATGGAACAAGCCTCCAGAACATTAGGTCATATTTACCTCATCAGGTAAAATTCAGGAAGGATAACTGTAGATCCTAGTTCAGGAGTTAATGAATTTATTTTAAACTTACTTCTCACTCTTCTTAATAATAAATTTAGTCCTGACCTCTAAATTACATTTTCTCAAGAATCTGTATGTATTTTTTTAATTTTATTGGCAGTGATGAATCATGTCAGTTATGCTGAAATGATGTAATAGCTTCATTTTATTTAAGGTATAATCGTCCTCTACCTTAGATCACACTCTGGAGGAACTAAATGTTTCTTATTTAATTTCTACAAGACTTCTTCATAAAAATCAGTTCACCCATATCTGTTTAAGATAAATATTAAAAGACAGTGTCTGCTTAGTTCAGAAAGTAGAAATACCATCAGGTTCAGCAATATTATTTGGATTGCTAAAATCATAATTCTGCTAAACTATTTAAGAAGAAATACAGATCTATTTTTTAGATGTCAGTTTTTACGAGAAAAAGTTTTTCCTTGAAGTAAGTTAGTTGAAGCCACCTTTGTTTTAAAAGAAGATAGAAGAGACACTCAGGATCTCATATATATATATGCAGCTTTGTCATTAACTAAATGAAGATAAGATGTTGAGATGTGAAAAGAAAAATACTTGCAGTATAATTATATTGTTAAGGCAATACTTACAGTGAAACAGAATCAGCTAATTGTAGAGTTTAGAAAGGGAATCATTCACATTCTCAGACAGTGATCTCCTCTGATTAGGATACATGCCATAAATCTTTCTCATTCACTACATTTCTTAATGGATTTCTTAATGGAGATAGTTCTATACACTGATCTCAAGTCAGAGGAGGAACTGTAACAGTGATAATAGCCTGCATGTACACAACTGCTACTTCTATAGTAGGAAATCCAAATTATTCCATTTATTTGGGCTTGAAGTAATGGTCACACTGAATAATAAAGAGGAGAGGAAGGACTTCTTAATAAGTACAAAGATTCTAGAGGAACTTTCATTCAAGCAATGAAGATCTCCTCTCTTAAAAACTGGAAGAACAAGAGGAATTGATACACCAGCAGAAGACATTTTATCCTTTGAAAGAACATTCTAGTGCAAAGTTTTCTGATAAAAGAGATTCTTTTTTTTTTTTTTTTTGAGACGGAGTTTCACTGGTGTTACCCAGGCTGGAGTGAAATGGCACGATCCCGGCTCACCGCAACCTCCACCTCCTGGGTTCAAGCAATTCTCCTGCCTCAGCCTCCCGAGTAGCTGGGACTACAGAAGCGCACCATCATGCCCAGCTAATTTTCGTATTTTTAGTAGAGACGGGGTTTCACCTTGTTGACCAGGACAGGATGGTCTTGATCTCTTGACCTCGTGATCCACGCGCCTTGGCCTCCCAAAGTGCTGGGATTATAGGCGTGAGCCACTGCGCCCAGCCGATAAAAGAGACTCTTAAGGCATGAAGTAGGTATGGACTCTTCTCTTCTCTAGCTGAAAAGACAGAATCTGTCTAGCTGGAATAGTGTTTTTCAACCAGGACATTTGGGAACATCTGGAGGCTTTTTGATTGTCATCCCTGGGGCGAGGGTAGGGGGTCTTTTGGTATCAAGTGCATTGAGGAGGCCAGGGATGCTACTAAACATCCTATAAAGCACAAGTCACTCCCCCAACACGCACAGGAAAGATTTCCCGGCCCTGCATGTCAGTAGTGCTGAAGGTGAGAAATTGTGAATCAGAATCATACACAACAAGGGTAGGTAAACTTTTTCTGTAAAAGTCCAGATAACAAATCTCAGGCTTTGCTGCCACATAACCTCTGCTGCAATTACTCAACTTGGCCTTTGTAACAGAAAGCAGCCATAGACAATAGCGAACAGGCATGGCTGTGTTCCAGTGAAATTTGTTTACAAATACAGGTGGTAGGACCCAGTTGGCCCTCTTGTGTTAGTGTGCTGTCTCCTGATAGAAGACATTTCTGCTCTGAGAGACTCCTCAAATTCTTATTTCTCGAATTGGAAAGAATTCCTGTTGCCACGATGACTCTTTGATAGAAGTCTAACTTGAGGAATACAACCAAGATGAGACAGGATCTCTAGTTTCCAGAAGGAAAACGGAATCTGTAGAATGACACAAATTCTTTAAAATTTACTCTCTTCTTTGAAAAGAAATACTTCTTTGACTAAGATTTTGTAAAACAGATTTAAAGATTTGACAAGCTGGTCAAAAAAAAGCAGAAATCAGACAAATGAACAAACCAGGGTACATAGAAAAACACTAGTTTTCTAAATCAGAGATGCTTATTTTCTAGCTCATGGTCCCATAGAGAGTTGACAAATAGATTCCAGGGGTTTTTTTAACTTGCTGCAACTGAACAGAAGATGGTGTGTGTGTGCATTCTCACACATATGATATTCTTGACCTTCTGAAAAATTTTCACTGCTAAATCATACAAGGTAATTTAGAGAGTATGTTTCAAGAATGAACTGCTTTTCAAAGGCTGCCAGCATAATTAAAAAGTACTACGTGATAGCAAATTTGGTTCCATGTCTGGGTTTCGTTTTTTGTGTTTTTTTTTGAGACACAGTCTTGCTGTGTCACCCTGTCTGGAATGCAGTAGTGCAACCATGGCTCACTGAAGCCTCAACCTCCCAGGTTTATGCAATCCTCTCACCTCAGCCTCCAGAGTAGCTGGGACTACAGGCACATGCCACCACACCTGACTAATTTTTTTATTTTTTGTAGAGACATCGTCTCACTTTGCTGCCCAGGCTGGCCTCAAACTCCTGAGGCGATCCACCCACCTCAGCCTCTCAAAGAGCTGGCATCACAGGCAGGAGACACCATGCCCAACAGGTTCTATGTCTTTGACAGATTCAACTAGTCACAAATTACCACATTGTTTCTAATCAACTACATGAAACCTGGCCTCCAATTCAGGTTGTACTCAATTTGGTCATATGGCAAAGGCCCATTTCTGAGTCTAAAGTCTTGGAACATGCTTAATATTTATTCTTCGTACTGCCTTGGATCAAAAACTATCTAAGAAGGATTGCAAAGATAAGTAGGCATAGTGAGATGATAAAAATTTTTTAATGGGGGTAAACAGAAAACATGCAGAGACATAAAATGGGGCATTAACAGAAATGTTTCTACTACAAAGTTCTTCCTGTACTATATCAGACATGTCATTTGATTTATTCGTACTTCTATTTCCTAATCTTTAGACTTGAAACAGGTGATTTCTACATGACATTTTCCTTATACTTAGGATTTATCAGTGTATACTAATCAGTCAACAAACATTTACCAAATCTCCATTGTGAGCGTAGCATTTTATTAGTGGTACAGTGAGTCAGAAGTAAGAGTTTCGCCCACTGAATCATTAACCCCATTTCCTGTATTAAGTGTGCCTTTTTGGGAGTTTCTTCTGTCATCTGGTCCCACAGTAACTGGCTTATGAAATTAGAGTTAAATTATAGTCTAACTAAAGCAAGTTCATATGGGGTTCCACAGAATGAGAAAGCAAAGAATTGGAAAAAGAGCAATAAAATGCAAGAGAGACAAATGCAATTGGTCATTCCAATGACCTCCATGGAAGATTTTTTTCCCCTAGGAAAAGAATATTATTTATTCTTATAAATAATAAGAAAGGGGAAAGGGTATAGGGCGATCCAGCCAGAAGAAAGGGTAAATAATTTCTTTTTTAAACTTTACAACTGTCAAGACTTAACAGTACTGACCATGCCAAAACTCATTCACCAAATATCAATCATATAGCTCTTATAAAGGTACTTTATTAAATTTAAAGCTTTCATTTGCTGGTTTAGGGAGTCCCCCACTCGCACCTTACTAAGTCAGAATCTGAATATTTTAGTTTTCTTCTTTTTTGCTTCCACTGCAGAAGTTAATGCTGAATCATCGTGATGCTCATGGAAGACATAGACATTCTTTAAATTACGGAACAGAGCTACATCTTGCTGCTGTACAGCAGGAAAGTAGAACCGCTCCAGGCAAGGAGCACTTAGTCTCTATTTTTACGGTTGTTACTATGTAGTCACAAACAAAAATTGATGATGAAAGAATTAAGTTAATCTATCTCGTGCAATATCATTAGTCACTTCCTAGGTTCAGGAGCTCCCTAAAGCAAAGAGAGAATAGAATTTCAAAATATGACACTGCTAGTTGGTTTTATAGATATCAAGTTTGTACAGGCACATAAATCAGAATCTATTCAAAGTAAGGAGCAGATGTTTGAATTATTCCAACAAAATAAAATCATCGTCTCTCTTACATGCTACAAATCCACAGCCTTTTCATAAGAATGAAAGCTGAAAAAAAAAAAAAACCTGGGATTCAACATCTAGATAATTTATATTCCCTTTGAGCTCTGAGCACCAAAGCAA